CCCCACACCCCAGTAACAGCAATGGAATCGAATAATGGTTGATGTACGGCCTGGCTAAGGCTAACAAATTAAGTGTTGCGAGGGAAAACTGAAAAGTGGTGTGAAAAATCCAAAGCAATAAAACCAAATTCAAGAGGGAATAAAATGGGCGCCGTGCCTTTATGTCCCATCCATGGAGGTCCCTTGTGATTGTGATTATCCAATGTATATATCACGTCTCTAACTTTATCTAAATTAACCTGCAGATGTGGGCTATGCCCTAGGTAACGGCAAAACTAAGCATCAGACCAACCAATTGCACGGACACCACACCCCCGGCCCCAACCCTTTTCTTTTCTGTTTTTTGTCCCACTTAGTAGAAGGGAGATTTAATTAGCAACATTTTTCACTTTGTTTGGATGCCAATCATCTCATCAAAGTTGGAATTCAATGTATCTATTCTCACATACACATACATACATATATCTAGAATAGTGTGTATGAGCTAGACCACCTTTCTCAATCCTTCTTATCTTTTCCTTTCCCCTTTTTTTTTTTCTTTTTCCATTAAGTGACAGAGAGATTTAACTAGGAATATTTTCACTAATTATAAAAAAGTTACCATTGTTAAATATATATTAGAAAATAAAAGTTTTTTGATTGAATGATTAATGATATTAAATCAACTTAAAAATTGATATGCATGATTTATATCAACAAAACATTAAATTTAACCGTTAATTTTTAAAAATATTTGTTGAAGGATATTATTTTCAAAATTAATACTTTATTTTTTATGAAAATTGAGACTAATACACATTTTTCCCTTATATATATATATATGTATATCTATTATAACTACCAACTATTAACAATTTGAGTTTATATAAATTATAAAAAGTTGTTAGGATACTTAAGGTATAAACTCATAACATGATACAAAGTATAAATGAAGACCTATCTTTAATTTGAGAAGAGACCGACAGGAATGTCTTCAACTTAAGTAAATTCACTTTTTCCTTGATTCTTGCTTGGTTCTCAACAATATTTAGTGGGTTTGAGATGATTGTTTTGGGATTATAATTAAGTAGAGAGTTGAAAATGGAACTTCTTCTCTTTAAACGCACCAGAATATCCCTTTTGCAATATATTGACTACTCCCTTCAAACTATCATTTGCCTTAAGCATGTTATGAGATGATACTCATCATCATGATGGCTAGTATCATCATTCTTAAATATGTGCATGTCATGTTACGCATAATTGCAACTATCTAAAACAAGTAATTAATTTAAGGACAACAATTCTAGTCACAAAAGGGGACAAGGCTATCATTACAAGGATCACTTTTACCAACATAACCATCTATAATACCATAATTAACCAATATTTTACACAACTAAGAATATTTTATGGGACCCCATTTCTCTCATATTATACATCAATGAGCCCCACATTATCGTATTTTTTGTTGTAGTGCCTCACAAATGATAATCTTGGTTGGCAACATGTACAACACAATCCTATTGTGGGAATGAGTTTGAACCCAAGCAAAGGCTACAAAGGAACCCCCATTTGCTTGTAATATCCATTTCACAACTTATATATCCAAAGAATATATATACTCTTTGCAATTTTTGGTCGGCCAAACGTGAGTATATATTATGATGAATAAAAAAGGGTTTCAATTTCTAGAGGTAGGAATTAATTAGTTCCCTCTCAATGGAGGAAATAATTAAGTCACACAAAAGAAAGGAAAGAAAGGTGCATTTCATCAAAGGAAAATTGAAAAGAGTTAACGAATTTCTTTTAGGACAGTTAGGGAACTTATTCTATTAAAAAGCTTTGTTTCGTGGCATGGTAAATCTATAGATTCACATTATCATTCCTTTGACTAGCACTTTGTTGATCTCCTAGGTAACATGGGATATATTCTTTGACTAAACTTTGTTACATGTGTACACAGTATCTATGGTTTATTTGTTTAGCTAAATGCAATTGAGTGTTTTCAAAAATTGGATTAAAATTTATTCATATTGAATAACTAAAGTTTGATTCTCGTTAAGGAGATTATAGAGTAATTTCTTACAAATTTTTTAAATTTGAAGTTAAAAGAAAGATTAAATTAAAAAGTCAGGTAACGTGAAGAGGTAGAATATGCTTATAAATAAGTAAATAAATAAATAATTAATTAATACTAATATTAATGAAGAAAAAGTGTTTTTTTCAAGTAGTTCTTCTAATTTTTTTTTAAATGTCTAAAAACTTATATTTTAATTAATATTTTTAGAAATCAACTGTTAAATTGAAAGTTTTATTTATTTCAATTATATATATCAATTTTTACATTGTTCTAACAAGTCTAATTAGTTCATTGATTAAATAAAAAAATTTAATATTGTCAAAAATAGATTAACAAATATAGTTTCTTTGATTTAAAGGTTATATTAAATTAATATGAAAATAGAGGTACATTATTTAAATAAATAAAATTTTTAATTTAATAATTAATTTTTTAAAATATTAATTAAAAAATAAAAATTTAGATATACCCTCTATAAAAATGTTTTTAAAAAAATCACTCTACTATTTCCTATTAATAAATAATTAAATATAATAGTATAATATAAGCATGGGTAACCCTAAGTCCACTAAAGTGGGGTCCTAACGGGTAATGCCTGTCGGGTAGGAACCGAAGAAATTCATAATCATGGGTATGGGTGCCAACTTTTTCATGAAAAACCGTGTGGGGACCCTAAAATACTCATAAGTATGAAATTTTAGGGGCAATTTTTTTGATTTTTTTTAGAGTACTTTTAAAGTATGCATTTAAGGTTCAAGTTAAATTTAAGTGTATATTTATTATAAATTTTTATTATTAATTTATATGAAAATGAATTATAAACGTAAATTTTATTTTTAATTAAATAATTAGTAAAATTAAAATTAATTTTTATTTTTTTTATAAAAATTAATGATCAAAAGTATAATAAATAAACCCACAACTTAAAAAATTCCCTTTTTTTTCTTTTCTTAAAATTTGCCTCTCTATTCTTTAAGTGAGTTGGCAATTCCCACCTCAAATCATGATATCATATCATGTTTAGGATCTTTGGGATCCCAAAGTGGTGGTTATGCAAAAGCTAAAGCCCCTCTAGCCTTCTTTTTTATTACAATAATCACACTAGATACCACAACCCAATAATGTATATTCATAGCACCTGAGTTTATATTTAACTAGTAAGGCGCATGTCTTTTCCTATGGTAATGTAGTAAGTTGGAGAAATTGGAATCCTTGTCTCCCAATCTCTATAATTCTCATTGTTTTTTAAAGTTTAGTGATGAAAACAGGTTAAAGGATTCAATCCATCTTTTCACCTCTATTTTTACGCTATTATTATGTGACGTCTCGATTAACTGTTAATTAATCAATAGGATTTTGCCACATAGCAAATGATGATTTTTGTTTTACCTCGATGCCATCGTTCTTTCAATATAATTTGACTTGTTCTAATTATTTGATTGAATGTTGAAGGGCGCAAAGAGGGGTACTGTCTAAAGCTCGAGAGTGACTGAAATCTAATATTTTTTTTTTGGGGGTAATAATAATAAGAATATTAATAATAAACAATAGTGGTGGAGATGTTGTTGAGTCAATAGCACCAAGATTAAGAGACATGATTAAACTGGAACAATTAGATAATTAGAGGGGTCCCCACGCGGTTTCTAATTATCCTATGAAAAGCTTTGAATTTTTCTAATGAAGGAATTTGGTGATGAGAAGAGAGCAGTGCAGTTCTTGACTGATGGGCTAAAATCACATGGCTTCAAATATTAATTTTGGCCAGTCCCCACTATCTGTCTTCTTATGCCATCTTTTCAAGATCAATTTTTTCTTAGTCTCATCCCGTTTCCCTTAAATTCTACTAATTCTTTTGAGAGATTCTTTATGATTTTTTATATCTTATATATATATATAGATAAGATTAATTTTTATTAAATTAATCATGATATGTTAATATTTTATTCATGTAAGTGATACACAATCAATTATTAAATTTGCTATAAAGAAAAGATGTTAAATTGTTCAGATTGTCAAGTTAGAGATTTATTTATTTTAATAAAAGTTTAAGAACTTAATTAAGAATCTAAAGTAAGTTCAAGGGCTTAACGTAGAATTTTACCCATTTTTTGTTTTCCAATTGTTTAAATAACTTAAATCGTGTGAGTTTCAAATGAAATCTGAAAACGGTTTCAAAGGGATATATCACCACAACGCGTCCTAGAAAACGACTTACCTCCAAGTTTAGGCTTTTGTTTGGTACAATCCAACTTTCTTCTTAAGAGTTCTTCTTTATCCTTTTCTGTACAGTCATCATTAAATCCACCCTAAAAATTAAATAACTTCCAAGTTTTTTTCAAAGTGCTATTTGATTGATTTGGGTTTTCACTTTCAGGCCCATTAAAACAGAAGATCTTTTCCAATTGATCAGAAGCCCAGTTCTAATTTGAAATCCCAGCCCATGAATCTTCTTTGCCTTGGGCTTCTGGGTCTCAATTCAAGAGTATAAACTACAAAGTAAAATAAGCAGTGCTGATACATGGAGCGAAACCTTTTTTTTTTTTTTTTTTGAACATGGAAGATTATGAGGAATGAAGTATTTTTCCAAATTGTTAATAAGACTCAAATTTCTAACTAATTAAATTGGAGCACAAAGGCTTAGAAATGAAATATTAAACTCAAAGACTCGGTTCACATGGATAAAAATTTTGATAATAATGAAATTATATTATTAAATAAGTTAATATATATAATATTATAAATTTAAATAAAATAAAATAAATTTATTATTAAATAATATTAATTTATTTTTTAATATTTTAAATAATATAACTTATATCAGTGTTCTTAATTTTAAATTTTGATAAAGTTAATCATTACTCTAAAATGAGATGGCAGGAGCAACACAGAAACAGAATTGAAATAAAATCCCTAATCATCGAAGATAAGTTACGTTCACATTACAACACACAATTCATTTCTCTTAATTAATCTATTTATGGTAACTTCAATCACAGAAAATGTGAAATTGAAAACACATATACCAACCCACCCACCCCCACCCCCCCAAAAAAAAACAGAAGAATTAAAATACCAAACAACACCGTGAAAGGTTGTTTACTTTGTTATGAACTCTGCTCACTCTCACCTCCGCATTTTAACATTGAGTGGTACTTCTTTGTAGGACTGTACCTTCTCAACGGCTCTGCGTAATGGCCTTCCAACGGAACATCTTCTTGATGATACTCGTGTTTCTTCCTTTACGTGCATGGGAGTGTCTGGTGTCTGATTCACTGCAAATGTAGCAGCATCTACAATCTCAAACAAATTCCCTGACTTTTCTTGCCCCTTGGATTTGAACATGGCAGATTGTCTTCTCAAACAACGTCTGTTTTTAGAGAAGTAGTTTGTAAATTAGTTGCTGGAAAAGAAGACTGGAGAAGCTGGATTTTAGAGAATGGAAAACTCATAATTTATACCTACTTATGCAGTGCAGCTAGTAATACCATATTGTGTTTCAGAAAATTATGTAGCATATGTCATGTATGTGTTCTTCACACAGTCAACAACCTTATAACTAACCTTTTATTTTCAGTCCTTTCTTTATCTACAGCACGTCGGCAAGTAGTTGAAGGGCCCATAGCTGTATGCCAATCAGAAATCCTCAAACATGTCAATATAGTAGATTCAAAGAAGATAGAGCAGAAAAAATGGTGGTCCAAAATTTTCAAAAAAAGCTCTCCGTACTTAATCCAAGGACTTACATTGACTTCTAACATTGCGCCTTCTGTTGCCCTTACAAGGTTTGTCATCGGCATCAGCTTCTTTATTCTGGCACTCCTCTCCTTCCTGAATCCAACAAAGTAAAACCAGACTTACCAATTGAGACTAGAATGAATGTTTCTAAACCTGAGACCCAACTTTCTAAGAGTTGATATATATATATGTATATATACTTCTTCCAGCTAAAGAACTCAACTTTATCTTTCACATACTTAAAAATAGAAATCTTTATATACATTTTTGTAAATAAATTTCTGGTTCCTGTGGAATTCAACAAATTTTTTTAATTCTAGTTTAGAGAAGCTAACCTTTTTTTCCAGATTCATTGCTTTAAGAAGGGCATCCCTGCATACAAGTTCATGTTGCAATGCTTTCATCTGGAAGGAGAAACGCCAAATTGGTCATTTTGAAAATAGCATTTATCATGAATAGACAGACAGACAGACAGACAGACAGCCTTCAGGCTACTACAATTAGGATGCAACAAAACAAACTTACCCTTTCTCTTCCTAAATTTATCTCCTGTAAATCAGAGAATACAATTAACATAATGAGAATCATATATTTCCAGAAAGCAAATTCACAACTAAACAAAATACATGAAAGCAAACTGACCGCTAACATTTGGCTATTTGATTGAGCAAGATTCCAGTTCTGCATCTGTAACTTCTGTAAACTGACTTTCATATTCTTCAACTCCATTCCGCTCAATTCAATTATCTTACTATTCAATAAAGAATTAAGGAAATATTAAGACCTATATGATACTGTTAACTTGTCTTGAAGCTTTTGTTTTGTCCGACTTAGAGAGCATTTTCTGGACAAATATGCAAGAAAGGAAGAGGAATTGAAATGCAAAATTAAAGAGATCACGAATGAAAGGATACTTCCTCTCCTCGATAAGTTTCATCATTGCCATCTTTTCCTGTTTCATGTAAACAACACAAATTTGAAGAAAAAGAAAAATCAAGAAATTACATAACACAGAGAAAGCAAACTCAATGATCCAAGAGCACAAAGATTACCTTAATTAACTGATTAATGTAGTCATCTGTGGTTGGAGAAATTCGTGCTGGCTTTTCTTCTTGCTTTGAGGATTTGGGTTGTGCTTGAGAGTTGGTGATATCAGAGAGTCTCCTCCTCACCATGCTCCCAAAGGACGATCTTTTCGCCATTCTTTCACCTTTCATTTCGTTGTTAAACTGACAAATTCCCTAGACAAACGCAAAGCCCCCCAGAACGGGTATGTGGAAAGATGTGGTTTTGGGGAGAAATTAGCAACCTTGTGAAGGAACCCTACACAAATCCAAGAGACCCAGATGGGTTTTCCCAGAAATCAGGTTTTACGGCTGAAAATACGTATGTTGATATACAAACTGAGGGTACCCAAGAATCAAACTAGCAACTTGAATTTCTGAAGGAGGGACTTTGAGAAAAGAAAGGGAGGTGTAGGGCTGGGCTGATGTTAAAGAAGAAAAAAGGAGCAAAAGATGAATGCATAATACAGCTGAGTGCAGGAAGAATCAAGAATCAAGAATAAAGACGAAGCAAAAACCCTAATTTTGGGAGGGAAACAATGATTGAATTCTCAGAGAATAAGAGAATGTCTGAATCGGAAAGGAAAAGTAGAGAGAATAGAAAGAGAAAAAGGGAACAAAAACAAAGTAAAGATGGTAAAGCAGGTTCGGAGCTCAACGGCTTTACGAAGCGAGTTTCTTTAATACCTGACATGGCTCCAAACCTGATTTTTAAATTTCCGAACCAAGTGTGACCCGACCGTTAACTTCAAGGGAAAAAAATTCCATGATTCTAATTTCTCTATTTACAAATTAAGAGCATTAAGATTTGGTAAAAAAAAATTAAAAATTAAAATTTACTATCCACTCACACATAATTAGGTATTGTATCTGCATCTAAATTTCATAATGCGATGATTATATATTTCACTATAAAGTATACTTTTTAGTTTTAAGATTAGATTCAAACCTCTTTCTTCAAATTATAATTTGTTCAAAAAAAGAAAAAAGTATTGTATCTAAGGGTATGACTTAGATTTACTAATTAGTAATTATAACATGATTTCAATCAAAAGATTTTGAAATAAAAGTATAATTAAATTTTTCCTTAAAAATTACAACAAAATATTTTACAAAACAAATTGTATATTAAAAGTACAATTTACTTTTTGTTATTTCATTAAAAATATTTTAATAAATTTAGAAGATAAACTACAATTTTAATATATAATTTGCTGCAAACTCTTTCTTGGAGAAGATCCAAATGCTTAAAAGGAATTACCATATGATTATTGAACGAGTGATCAGTGATGATAATCAATATGCTAAAATTATTATAGGAGTTTCTATTTGATTATTAAACTGAAAATCAGTGTTGATTATGAAAATAGCAGAGAATGTTTCTGATTTTCTCAACTTTAGCTTGATTCTTATCCATCTATTTCTCAACATCATCAGCTTCATTATGAACATGAATCAAACTAGAATATTATCGAGAATTATATTATCAAATAATCCATCTCTAGATGGCAGTTTCCAGTTCCTGACATCCTAGGCCACACAAAGAAAAAGGAAGAAACGACATTCCCCCATGTGGCCACAGTGACTATCATGCTTCTCCAAAGTGGGAAGCAGGTAGAATGCACTTTGATCCGTAAGTCGAGTCCCAGACTCAACTTTCCTTGAACAGATGCTAATTTAACATTGTATTTCTTCCTATCAAAAAAAGAAAAAGGAAGAAACGACATTCTCCCATGTGGTCGTAGTGGCGGTCATGTTTTTTTAAAATGAAAAGCAGATGGAACACGCTTTGGTTTGCATGTCGAATTCCAAACTCAACTTTTCTCGAACAGATACTAACCTAACACTGTATTTCTTCCTGTCAAAAAAAGAAAAAAGAAGAAACGAGAGGAGAGGACTGCCAAAACCAAACATAAACACCGAATACAACTTGAACACATATTGACTATGTTTTTTTCCTAGGGATGGTATGGGATACATTTGACTATTTGCAGCAAGTGCCTTGGAGAAGGAATGAAGCTTTACTGCGAACCTGAAACATAAAAGGAAATCTGTTAGTAAAAGTCATAGGTGCACATAATGAGATGAGAAAAACAGTTTTGATTCCAGACCTTGGAAGCATAAGATCTCAAATCCATGCTAGAGATTTGGCAAGAACAGTTGCGAAGAAAAAGACCCCACATTTCCATGATCACTGGCTTGTCTTCCAATTTTTTATCATACAGAAGCCAATTTTCGGTCAAAACCAAATAAATGTACATCTTGAAGAAATCATTGTCTTTTTCTTTCACATTGAGTGAGATAAGCATATTCAAGATCCCTTCTTCATCAGTAGCCTGCAAAGAATACAGAAAAGCCAAATTTAAACATACCATCAAGAATTCTTTGTCTCTGGCCAAACAAAAAAAAAAAAAAAACCATCAAGAAATAACAAAGTAATAATGGTGGGAAAGGAGAGGAAAAAAAAGAGGGGGGGAAGGCAGAGGGGCTACCTTCTTCTCAAGACAATTTACAAGAATCTGGAAGGCAAGAGCACTTCTGAGCTGCTTGCTATGGGTGTCTGATCCTGAAATGCATTCAACTGCTCGCAAGCAATTCAAATCCCTAGGAATTCTGCATTCACAGCAAAAAGAACTCAGTATTGACTTTTTTGAAACTTCATAGATTTTCCCCTATTTTTTGTTCACTCATTTCTTTTACAGAAAGCAGGTAGTGGGCAATAACCTGCAAGCAAGAGAATTCGCTATTTTTGCACAGCTGGTATTCCATTCATCAGCAGAAAAATAACTGAGAGCTGACTGCATACAATTGTACATAACAACAGATAGACCTTGAAGTTGGTGATCGAGAAATTGCCAAACAATGACTTCAACCAACTCTTCAGCTTCAGAAGTCAGAAAGATAGACTGCTTATCCCTGCAAAGAAAAAATGCCATAGTTGCCCTCAAAATGAACTAAGTTTGTAAAAAAATCTAATTCTCTGTAGTCATGGGCATCATAATACGCAACTGCCATACTATATATAGGGCCAACATAACTGATTGCCCGGCAAAATTGACCTCTCCTAAATGATAAAAACAATTAAAAAAAAGAGAAAAAACACCTCTAACTCTGCTTTTCCATAGGTTATTTTACATAATGATGGTCACTGGCCAACAGCCTTCAACTTACAGATCAACAGCAAGAAAAGGCCAAGATGGTGCATGGCAGTGTACAAAAGAGCTCTTAATATTTCCATATTTCCATCTGCTACATACCTTACTTGACAACAAGCAGCGGTAATTTTAAACCAGGATCCAATATTTTGGGGTGGCCCTTTCCCATCAGAGCCTAGGAATCAAACAAGAGATGGTTATATATATTCTCCACTACATGAAATACATTAAAAAGTGAGCAAAAGATGAGATAGATTACCAGGATTAACTGATTCAGGGTTGGATGAAAAATTGAAAAGAAAACCATATGTTTCAAGAGCTCTCTTGAGATCCATATAGGTGGGTAACCATTCAATTTTAATGGGCATTTTACCAACCTGGTGAAACATTACAGAAAACATGATAATCACTTAGAAGATGCATAATTGAAAGATCAAGAACATGAAAACTTTTCTAACACATAAGTAGCTCTGCCTTAGATTCATGAAGATGTACATCAGTTTACCTCATTTATTGGTGAAAGTGTAGAGCACCAAAAGTCACATGCAGATGAACTTACTTCTTCTTTGGATGAATATAACACTGAAGAACCAAAGAATAAATAGTGAACCTCAATTAACTATTAAATTGGAAAGCTAAGATAGGAAGAAGTGGATTTACACACTCATATTAAAGGTCCACGTGGCTATTGATTTTTCTAGGTAACCACACTTAAAGACCAATCTTGAGAGCCATCCATTTATTAATAATCCTTCAAGGAAAGAGCAACCTAAAAGGAGAGATTAGGAGGTCAATAGACACACATAGGTGCATCACTACATTTCTTCTAATGACTTATTTTAGAATATGCATGTTATGAAATGCCATTGAACAATCTCTGGCATAATATTTAGAAAGAGAAAATGACTTGTAATAATAGATGAAAAGGCAGAACAAGGACGAAAAAAAAGAGCACCTGTTTCAGCAGTAAGTCCCACCAGAGAATTAAGCTCACCATTCACAAAAGACTGCAAAAGTGAGCAATCTTCAAGCTCAGGAAATACAGAAGGGGGTGGAGTCTTCTGCAATTCGCACATTGGAAAGAAGAAGAAAGAACTATCAGTTATAATATTCCAAAATATGGTCCCATGGAAGTAGAGCATTGGCAACATTAAGTGAGAACCACAACAGGCATGATAAGTTTATGCTAATCATTGGATAAACCTGGTTTCCAAAGACCCTTATGCCCCAGTGAGAAATCTCTTCCTCACTGCTCATCTCTTTCATCTACAAAATAGGAATTTAATGATTTTCAATTAAATTAAATATGAGAAAAGGATATACCAAATCGCAAAAGTAGAACCAGCCAAAATATGAAATTTTATAATACCTGTTTTTGGCAGAGATTAACAATTTCTGACAGCTTAGCTTCTTTTCCAGTCTCATCCTCATCAGAATTGTAGTTTTTTGGGGCCTTAGCAGGTTTCTTGGCCTCCTTCTCCACATTCTTACTTCGTTCTTTATAATAATCAGTCAAAAGATCATCCAACCCAATAACCTTTTTCCTGGTTAACATTTAGAAACAAAAACATAATATTAAAACCCTTAACCAAATACAATTGTAATTATTCCAAAAGCAATACCCTCGATTAAATATTTCAATGGCAAAATTAATAAACCAAATCAATTAAATACTGGCAAGGAAAAGTAACCATTTCCAGTAAAAAAAATTTGAAAATAATGCATAACATTTGTTACAAAAGTCAAAATAAGAAAAGGGTCATCTTTATCTTAGACATCTTAATTTGGTCAGAACAGAAAAAGACATTAAATAATTCAATCTTAAACTGAATCTTCGAAATTCTGTGCAATGTGGAAGCAATCACTCAAAAAAGTAATGCAAAAACAACAACAGAACACAGTAAAATATCATCCAAAAACTGCAATGCCAAAACCCTAGGAGCCCAGATCCCTCAACGGCACCCAAATTCACAGCGACAGGATAAAAAAGCAATAACCCAGATGAGAACTGAACACAAAAGAGGAAAATAGTAGGAAAAAGGAACAAAATTAAAGATGGCAACAAGCCAACAACAACTGTGTTGTTTTCGTTAAAAGGGGAAAGGAAAAAAAACCTTTTCCTAGCCGCAACAGGGGAAGGAGCAAGAGGATCTTCTCTCTCGAAATCGAGTAGTTCTTCAACATCCATCTTCTCCGGCTAACAATCTCTCGCTCTGAAAAGGTATAGTACAACCCTTTCAGTTTTCCCCTAATTTCCGTTCTGTTTCTGTGAGTTGGAGCCAAAATTTGGTCGTCGGAACTCAGAAGCGCCAAACTTTACAGGCATAAAGTTCAAACCCAGGGGGTTCGGGCCCTGGTGGTGTTTTAAACATTGGGCTTTTATTTTCACCTTGAAGAAAAGAAATCCTTGTGGATGAAAATGGCCAACTTACTCTAGCCCAACCTTCAACGATGTATGAATCTTTAGGCCGACTTACTCTAGCCCAATCTTTACATTTTTGTTTTGCCAAAAAAAAAAAATCTAATTGTTGGATATCAAGGTACAGATAAAAGAATATGGAATTTGTTATTTTTAATGTAAGAATGAAAATTTTGTAGATTTTTAAATAAAATAGTAAGTTTTTAATTTGTTTATTTAATAATATTATTTTTTTATTTAAGAATTAATTAGATGGTGATGTTAATGTATCAAATAATTTTTTAACCATTCAATTAATATTTAAATAGAAAAAATGTAGAATTAATATTTTTAAATAAAAACATATAAAATTGATATTTTTAAATAAAAACGTATAAATTTTATTTATTTATTTAGAAATTAATAAAATTCACATCTTTAACTTATAAAATAAAATAAAAATTATATTTTTAAATAAAAAATAACTAAATTTGTATTATTGTCTGCACTTATAAAATAAAAATTATATTTTTAAATAAAAAATAACTAAATTTGTATTATTGTCTGCACTTGTTGTTATAAATAGAAAAAATATGATTCTCACAAAATAAAATTTTGAACTCAAAATTTATAAATTAAGAGATACATATTTGTAAGAATATGTTTGAGGTTAAGGATCTTAGACGCACTGCTATATTTCATTAATGACCGAAATAACTCGTAAGTTTAGTTTTTCTCGGCCAGTAGTAACTTGACAGCTACAGTAGGCATATTTGCACCTGATCCTCTATCCCTTAGATGATCGCTTGCATCGACACGTCATATTTTAATTATCTTGTTAAGCAGGTCACGTGGATATTTCATTAGGACCTATAAATACTTCCAGAGACCACCTCAAAAATGTAATTGAAACCGACCTAAATTTTTTTTTTTATATATAATTCTTAAAGGTAGACCAACCTAAAGTTTCTTTTTTTTATAATTCTTAAAAGTAGACTAGATTATTGTTAACTTAAGCATCAAAATATTTACTTCAAGGATCCACTTCGAGACTTTACAAGTTATCCCAAAAAAAAGAAAAGACTAAAAGAAGTTACCTAATTTGTTACAATTACAATACTAAAATAACTTCTCTTTAAAAAGTTTAAAATGATTTCATTTAAAATTAATTAAAATTTAACGTAGAAACAAAAATTTTAGTAAAAAGAAAAAAAAATGTTAAACCCTCAACTTTGCCGCATAGAATATGGAAAATATAAGCCATTATATTGAAACCCGCATGGGTTTCGGTTCCGTATTCTTACAATCTCACAAACCTATGCACAAATTACGAAACAATTTTTTTCAAGATAAAGCGTCCCACAACAAGAAGTCAATGGCGAGAGAGTACACTCTGTTTCAGAGTTCTACTTACCTCCCCTAACAAATCATAAACAATTCTTATTGTAGTATTGTTCAAATCGAGGATACCAAAAACCACGACTTTCTGAAAAAAAAGTAAAAATCTCAAAACGTTGAATCGATATAAAATATATCATATTGAATCACGGTTTACATTTAACGGTGTTCTCGAAATTTTAAATATTTGAGTATAATTAATTAAAATTTTAATTTTTATCATGATATAAATAAAATATTTTTTTAAAGTTTTTTTATGTTAAAAAAATGGTTAAATGTTAGATTTGGTCCCTCAACTTTAGTGAGTTGCACATTTTTGGTCCCTTAACAATTTTTTGCACTTTTTTGATCCCTTAACTATACGAAATGCACTCCGTTAGTCCTTCTGTTAATTTCGATCGTTAACTCGCTCACATGGCATTTTTTATTTTTTTTTTGATGATGTGGCAAAAGCAAATTGAAAACATGTTGACGTGGATTTTTTTTTCATGCCAACTCACATTATTATCATTATTTATATTTTTAAAAAATAAATTAATATAATTCGTTCATCTTTTTCCTTTCTCTTTTTCTTTTTTTTTTCTTCCTCTTCTTTCTTCCTCTCCTTTCTTCCTCGCGGGTCATTGAACCCTCTGCTGGGTTCGGTGGAACCCAGGCGGGGTTTCGTCGAACCCAGCAACTGGGTTCCACCGAACCCAGCTCCACTTTTTTTTTTTTTTTTGGTTTATATGATTGTTTGCCGTGAGGGATTTTTGGGTAACTAGTTTCTTTTTCTGTTATATGATTGTTTGCCAAGAGATTTTCA